TGGGGAGTTGATGGAGAAGTCTGCAGTGTTCCTCATTAACATGAGGAAACAGTTCTATTGAAAACTGATCCACAGATTGTCTGAGATCCCCAAGGTAACATTTTGATAAGAGCTATGAAGTGTTGATCACATAGAGCTGCTGTACCATTATCGGAAGCTGAGCCAAGGAAACGTGTTTCTACAAAAGACTAAAGCTACAACATTTAATAAAAAGCTGCTGCTAATCCAACATGGTTTACAATCCTACTGTTACTGTTAATTAGACACAAAAACACCTGTATGAACTACAATGTATTTACTACCATGCCATATGTCAGTCAGTGGTATCTGGAGCTCTCAAGTGCTTACCTTGAAATTGAGTCTGGATTTCAAGCTTAAGGAGCTTAAGGTTAGGTCAGAGGCGGTTTATTCTTTCACTGAACGATTCTTGTGGCTTCCCTTCTTTCTTGGCTCTTGAACACACGCACACATACGCATGTACACTGACACCGACCTACCCCCCCGCTCCTCATTCCTCATCGGGTCGTCTGCTTGTCTTCACCTCTGTTTCTCCTGCTTGACCTCCCCTGCTCATCATCCATGTTTGTTTGTTTTTTCTCAGTTTCCCCTTCACTAGTTGGTTTTGTAATATTCTTGTGCACCAACAATAAAGGCTTGCTTTCTGTTAAACATCCATTTTTCTTGCTTCCTGTCTTGCTCTTGAGTCCACTTCTCTCCTCCCCACATGGTCTGCCAGCTCAGACCGTGACAGTATGACCCAACCACACTATGGACCCTCCAGCTATTGAGCTGTACAAGCGGCGGCAGGCAGTGTTCTCCCAGCTGGAGGACGAACTCAGGTGGAAGCCATGGCTCACTCCCAACTACGAGCACATTTTTCGTGGGACCCATTTAGCTCTGGGGGTTCCTTGGAGATGCTGTAAAGCTCCACCTGCTTCCCCGCCAGCAAACTTGCTTCCTAAGCTGCAAGTGTGATATCTCCATTTTTCCATGGATACACAGTCTTTAGCCTCAGTGCTGCTGTCCTGTGCGCTGAGGCACAGCTGTTTAGCTCACCAGCTTCTTCTTCCCGGAGAAAGCAGCACTCCCGCTGCTGTCACTCTATGCTCACTGAGCAACTCCCAGTGGTGCGTGAAGATGACTTTTTTCTCATTCTTCCTCTGAGACTACAAAAGTTAAGAAAATGTGATCCACAAACTGTTAAAACTGTCAGCCGTGATGAAAAAGGGACAGTGAGTTTTTTCTGCGCATCAGCTTTGGTGTCTGCGTTATACTTTCTATTCACTTGGTTTCTGTTCTGTTTCTGTGCCTCTCCTGTATCTCCTCTGTCAGCTGTGTCTCCATGTAGTCTATGTCTTTATGAATGTCATGCTTCCCATTTTATTTTGATAGTCCCTGTCCTGTGTGCAGTGTATCTAGTTTTGCTTCCCTGGTCTCCTTAGGTCTGATTTGTCCCAGCTATGTTCCCACCTGTTTTCCATCCTCTCGTTCTCCTGCTTGTGTATTTTTAGTGTGTACTTCCCTCTGCTCCTCGTCAGTTTGTCTGCTTGTCTTGACCTGTGTGACACTCACCTCCCCTGCTCATTATCCAGTACTTCCCCCCTCGTGTTTCCAAGGTCCCAGTATTTGCCCAGACTTCTTTATTGTGTTTCCTGTGAATCTCATCTTTTTAGTTTCCCCTCAGTTTAGTCATTGTTGGGTTTTTTTCTCAGTTTCCCCTTTGCTGGTTGTTTTTGTAATATTCCTGTGCACCAACAATAAATGCTTGCTTTCTGTTAAAAATCCGTCTTTCTCACTGTTTGTCTGCCCTTGGGTCCCCTCCTCTCCTCCCCCTTCAGATCTGCACTTTGAAGATGGGTGTAACCAACATGTGATGACATGTAAGAGCTGACAG